CAATCCTCCATTTTCCCGGAACATTTAGCTTCAGGGAGAGAACTAGGACTTCCCCCTCCCTTTAGCTGCCTAAACCCGAATGAGGCCCATTCACTAGAGCCATTTTCAGTGCTACTGTGCTTTGTATTATTAAACGATGTGGTATTCTCAAGTAAGCATTCCTCCTGCTCTCTTCAAGACTTCACAAATTCTGGCCCTGTAGTCAGATTTGGACAGAACTAACATGAGGGATGACTAATGTTAGCACAGTGAAGAGGGATTTGCTTAAGAAAATAGCAAGATTGTTGTTAGAGGGAATATTTAACAAACCATTGCTTCTTTACAAATAAAGTGCCAACTGCAAGGACCCTCAAAGCAGGCCCTGGGATACCTTTTTGGCAAATTATTAGGATCTACTTGAAAATATGTACATTGGAAACCACTATATTGAGAAGTTTATGGATTCAATTCTGGGAACTGGGATGCAAGGCAGAGGGGAGGTAGTGGGCCCTACAGGGTACAAGGACTCCCAGTTGCAGTTAGGTAACTGATACTAAACCCCACTGATAAATGGGGCAGACCTGGTCACCTGCTTGTGACTTAGTTGGGGAAACCAAGGCAAACAGGGACAGGTGAGGCTGGATGGGGTGACCTGTAACTTACAGAAGGGGTAACACAGAGACCTCATTTCACAAATACACAATGTGAAAAATACCCAAAGCATGGCAGTGCCCCAGGGGATGGGGGCAGTAATTCTCCTATGTCACTGATGGCAACCGGATTCAGTTCTCGAAAGCTAATCTGTATCAAGAGCCATAAAAATGTTTATATACTTTGACCCAGTTATTCTATCCTAAGGAAATCCAAAGAAAAACCATTTTCAAAGATGTCTAATTTCTTTATTTTCTCTGAAAGAAAAAGTTCAAATGCCCAACAATAACTATGTTTAACACATGGTATACATATGAATGCAGATAAAGGCTGCTGAGTGGACACTGGGTTTCAATGATGGTATCATTATAATGTGTTTTATGAATAAGAAAAAAGGCACTGTCTGAAGAGAGAGATCTATATTCCTATCCTCTTTAATTTGGATCCCCCACCCACTCCTGCCAACTGAGCTGACTTCCCACCATTGGTAGGAAGCAGTGACCCTCTGCCAGGCAACTGCAGCACGCTGCACCACCAGCCCCTGTCTCAGAGGGAAGTGTGTCTGGCTGTCACTCTAGGCTTTAGGCCAACCTGGATCCAGCTTCAGGAGCACTAAACTCAAGCCTCTGGTCACTTGACACTTTTAAACAGTACCAACTGGCACTCTAGCTTATTTGGACATTACATGCCACCACCTCTCACTAGATTCCAAACATAAAATTTTATTTAAATAATTTTAAAAAAGAGAGAAGGAGAGAAGCTTATTAGAAGAGCATTCTAGGAATGTTATTAGTCTCTATTCAGCTTTTCGCTGACATAGGAAATTGCAGACAATAAATATAGCCCCACTCCCCAGGTGTGAAGTTAAACCAGCTTCTCCTGGGGCGTGGCTCCAGTGCTCATAAAGACAAACTGCCTTCAAAGTCAGACTGGTGACACTGGCCCCAATGGCCTCTGCAAATGAGGCCTGGCCATCCACCGGTGACAGTCACATAGTGTCCAACATCAGTCCTGGGGCCCTTTTGCTGCCCACGTCTCAGCAGGATCCCTGTGAGGGAGCAGCCCGTACTTCCCTTGGAGGACAGCCGTAGTGTTTTCCAGGGCGCTGAGGAGGAAATGGAGGAGAGTTAAGGGTCTGACTTCTCAAAGCCCACCAGAGTCCAGTGATCAGGGAGCTCTAACTCCCTGGTCTTACTGCACTCTGCTCATCAAACCCTTGAAAGATCCTTTCGAATCCTGAAAAAAACAAAACAAAAAAAACCACCAGCAAACTTAGTCTCACTCCACCCACCACTTCTCCAAAATAAAGGTTGTCAGGGCAAGAGAGTGTGGCAACCTTTATTTTGTCAAGGCCATTTTTGCATCTCCCAGCCTCCCTCAATTCCTATCCCCATAGCATAGGAGAGAGACTCACCAGCCTGCACGAATGATGTCAAACTTTCCAGGCACAGACAAGTCAACCACAGTTGAGCCGAGGCGACACCTGGGGCTCTTGCCATCCCCAATTGGCCCCCCATCGATTACCAAGGACAGCTGAGGCCAGAGGTCCTGGAACTCCTAAGAGGAGGGAGAGGAAGAGCATGGACACTATCCCTATGCAATGATGTCACACTGCAGGCAGGCAAGTAAGACAAAGGCTACACAACCCCAAACCAGGAGGCACATTCCTATAAGAGGAGAAGGAACCTCAATTAATTACAGTCAGCTATGCTAAGGACACTGCATTAGCACCTAGAATACTACATCCTATGAGGTTTGAGGTCTGCCCCGCCACATCAGCACCCCAACTAACATCTATCTAGAGCTCAAAGAATATCTTGCTGTGCCAGAAAGAAATTCCATACAATCATTTCTGTTGGGGAGTTTTAAGTACAATGACTGGAGTCCGAGCTAGAGCCCAAAGGGATGGGCTCTGCCCTGGACTTCCCTCCAAATCTCAGTATACCACATTCAAGTTACTTTATCTAGGGCTGTAAAATAAGGGAGCTGGACAGATGCTCCCCAAGGTTCCCTCCAGCTCTAGCACTCTGATCCAGTCTCAGGAGAACAGAGAGGAAACAGGGTTAAGTTCATGCCACCAACACTCAATCCTTGGGCTATGGGAAGGGAACTCCCTTCTTAGCTACAGCATCACCCACTCCCCCTCATCCCTTATGAAGACATCACAGTGACAGACGGGCCTGGGAATATGGGATGGGGGAATACCAGTTGGATAGGTCAACTGTTCGCTGAGGAGGTAGGAATACTCCCCACCATCTCCTTCCCCATTGCCTTGAGTATGGCTACCAAGACCAAGTAAAAGCCTGCAGTCTGAGAATAAGAAGGGATGTGAGCTCTCACTTTCCCAGACTCCTGAACCCACTCTCTAGGACTGGGCATGGGAAACCACATCCTTTTACTATGTTCTGCATTTAAGTTCAGTAAGAAGAAAACAGTGTGGTAAATCGAATTTCTTTGTGTCCTCATCTGTTCCAAGCTACGCAGCTAACACAGGATTAGGACAATCTTTTTTTGACCTGGCTTATGGCAGAGGTAAGAGAACATCGTCAGGAGTCCCTGGGACAAGTGATTTAACTTTTTGGAGCCTTAACTTCCTTTATAGCGTCGTTGTAAAGACTTACTGCCTTATTCCCCAATAACTGCTACCCCTACAACAAGGGAGAAAATGATTATACTTATAATGTTTCTTATTAAAAAGTCTAGAGGCCAGGTGCACAAAATTTGTGCATGGGTAGGGCCAGCCAGGGCCTTCCTTTGTTCTGTGCCACCCCCTGGTGGTCAGGGCACATCATCAAACTTCCCAGAGGACAATTTGCATATTAGCCTTTTATTATATAGGATAGAAAGAAAACACCCATATTCCCCCTCACTTCTCAAGTTTTGTAATAAAAGTTTTCCAAGATTCTTTAACTTGGATTTCCCCCAACTCAACCCCTGTCAACTTCCCATTCTAATGACTCTCCTGTCAGGCAATTCCAGTGAACCACCAACCCCAATGGTTCAGAGAAAACTGTGTAAGTTTCCTGGTTCACTGATGACATTTGGGAATGGGACGACAGCTATGAAACTCTCACCTTCACATTCAGAGAACTGGGCTGGGAGCTGAGGTTGGCACTGGTGAGAGCTAGTGGTCCCCCAAACATCTGGGCCAAGTCCTGCATGAAGGCATGGTCAGGAATCCGGATGCCTACAAGCTACGAAGCAAGGTGAAAGGGGATCATGAGAAAGGATGGAAGGAGTGGGTTAGTGGGTCCAGCCTGGATCCTTGTGAAAGCCAAAGGGCAGAGAGACACAAGAGGAAATCCACTCACAGGAGTGAAGGGGTTCAGGTCCTTATTGAGCTCCTCGGAGCGTTCCATCACTAGGGTCACTGGTCCTGGTAACAGGTCGTTCAGGAGCCCCTCGGGTACTCTCACATGGCAGTACCTGGGAAACAAAGGGGCCACAAATCTACCCAAGAACGAAGGGCCACTGCTGGTCCTGGCCCACACTTTAGGCAGATCTAGAAAAGGGGGTCCTGGGGACTCCAGTGGGATCCACCTGTCTTCGCTCTTCGCCTAAGAGCCTGAGCAGAAGGCTGGGCTCCAGGGAAGCACCCCAAACTTGGGGCCCACATGCCTCTGGTCTCTGAAACCACAACAGTTGTGCTGCTATCCCGCTCCGTGTTTTATTTTCTCTTCAAAGCCCTCCCTACGAAATTAAGCTACCGTTTCCAGCCCCCCCCCCTTTTTTTAACCGTGGGAGTTCCCCGCCCCCATCAATCACAAAAACGCCAGAATAGGGGCCTCGCCCGCCTCGCTCGTTGCTGGGCGGCAGCCTCTCGCAGAAGGCCTGGCAGACGTCAAGTGCTCGACACACATTTCCAGTTCCGGATTCCTGGGCGAGCCGGCCCGGCCCCTCCCGCTCCCGGCGCCTCAGTCTCCCAAGCCGTCACCGGAAGCCCCTCCCGTGGAGCCGCCCCCAGCGGGGCCGGGTCGGGGAAGCTTTACCTGTAGACGTCCACCACGCGGCCCAGGCACACAGCCAGCGGCTTGGCCTCGCTGCGGCCCTTGAGGCGGTACACGGCGTCCAGTGCCGCCGAGCAACTCGCCGAGCACGCCAGGCCGTACAGCGTGTCGGTGGGGACGGCCACCACGGCGCCGGAGCGCAGCTCGGCCACGGCCGCCCGCAGCGCCTCGGCCCAACCGGCGCGCTCCGGGCTTGCGGCCCGCACGGCCCCGTTTCCCGGGAGCCGTAGCAGCCGGGCCCCCGGCGTCGCCCGAGCGGGACCCGGAGGACGGAGGAGGCGGCCCTTGCGGGCGGAGCCCACCGGCCCCTCGCTCAACCCCACGCTGGCAGCCACCGCGGCCCTCAGTCCCCAGCACGGATGCGCCGGAGACATCCGCCTAGGCCCGCTTCCGGGAGGAAGTGACGCACCCAATCAGCTTCCGGTTCGGGAGGCTCGGCCCCACCTCCGCTCCCGGCCACTTAAAGGGACCACGACCCCCAGGAGGATTGAAGGAGACCGGTGGGGACGGGGCGGGGCGCAGCTTTGCGGAACCTTAGCGCAGCGCTGGGGAGGGGGCGGCCGAAAGGGGGGCGGTGGTCGGGCCGCGCAGGCGGAGATGGAATGGGGCCCCGGCTCAGACTGGTCACGGGGGTGAGAGGGGGCCCGTCGGGGCGGGGGGAATGGGCTCGGACCCCGCGCCAGCGCCGGCCCTGACGGCCTGTCTCTCGCTCTTTCCTCCGGGCAGGGAGGCTGCCGGCGTGGACCGTGGGAAGGCGGGGCTGGGGCTCGGCGGGAGGCCACCCCCGCAGCCGCCCCGGGATGAGCGCGCCCAGCAGCTGCTGGACGCGGTGGAGCAGCGGCAGCGGCAGCTCCTGGACACCATCGCCGCCTGCGAGGAGATGCTGCGGCAGCTGGGCCGCCGGCGCCCGGAGCCGGCGGGTGGCGGGGTCAGTGCCTCCCGGCTGGGCCTGGGAGGTGGGGTCTGTCCACTGGCTAGATTTGCTGAGCCCTAGCTTCCCCCGAGCGTGAAAGTGTCCCCACTGCTGCACCTCCCACTTCTCATCTGGGTGAGAGGCTCTGAAAAGTTCAGTGCTGTCCAGATGCCAAGTAGCCATATCCTTGTGGGCCTAATCCAAGGCCTTTCCTCCCAGCCTCACTTTCTTCCTTTCTGTTCCAACCAGAATGTCTCATCCAAACCCGGAGCGCCCCCCCAGCCAGCTGTCTGCGCCAGAGGCGGCTTCCCAAAAGATGCTGGCGATGGAGCTACGGAACCCTGACCATTCCCCAAGCCCGTGGCCCTGAGTTCTCTCCCTCCGGGGGGCTGGTGGCTGGACTCTGAACAACTGCCTTCAGGAAAGGACCAGTCTTCACTGGCAGCGGCTGGAACCTGGCCCTCAGCCTAGGGTGGCAGCTCTGCTAGCAGCTGGGTTCACTCCTTCATCCTGGCTGATGCAGTGCTGAGCCTTGAAATGTAGCCATGGAATATCCAGCCTGATGACCGGAGTTGGGCAGGCCAGCAGTGCTCGCCAGAGTGGCCTGGCCTGCTTTCAGGGATCCAGGTGGTGTTACATGTCCATTTCATGCTTTGGGGGCTCCAAGTCCCACAAAACACTTTCAGCAGAGCCTTGATTAAAAGGAAGCCTGCAGACTCTCCTTGTGACTGGCCTTTCCTTTCTGTCCCATCTCTGAGACTGAGGGCTGGGAGGGAGGAAGTGGGTGAAAGCTGGCAGGGTTGGGAAGAAATAACACAGATAACTACCAGATTTAAATAAGCATTTAATTAGGATCTCATTAGTATTTAATATTGCTTTTTCAATTCCAAAAAGTTAAATTTTCACTTCTTAGCAGATATCTTAAAGTACAATATTAAGTTTATACAAAATGAGCAATTAAGCAAACACCATTATTTCACATTCTTCAAAAATACAAATTCATATTTACTCTTTTTTTTTGGGTTTGGAGGTTTCTTCCTTTGGAAGTACTGAACCTGTAACGTTTTCATATCGCTCAGTGAAAATCTGTTGTTCCCATGTTTCACACTTAAATTAATTTGATAGGCTTTCCATAATCCAAATAAAACTATTGGGTTTTAGAGAACTGTCACCAAGACCTTCAGCCAATGACTAGTGTATGTCAAAAAAAAAAAAAAAAAAAAAAGGCTCTTGTCTTGCCTTCCGGGGCCAGAAGATCTAAGCCAGAGATTCAGCAAATCCAAGTTTCCAACCACCTTCCCCAAACGGGTCTAGGAATTGGCAGTGAAAGGAAACTACCACCTTGAACTCTGACCCCCACCCCCACATTCACCAAAAACAAGAGGACTAGAGTCACACATTGCCCTAGGGGAGGCCTGAGGACAGGGGAGAGGGCAGGAGAGGCCTCTGACTTGGCACCACTGTGAGGATAACAAGGATATTGAAGAAAAAACAACCCTGGGTTCTGGTGAAAAAAGGTTTTATGAAAAACTTTCCCATAAGAAAAAGAGTAGAAACTGCATTGAGCTGAGAGAGTGACACTGCGTTATCACCCAATTTTTTGGCCCAGCAGGCACACCACCAAAAGGGCAGCGTGTGGTTTTAAACTTTGCATCCAGTAAAAAGGCTGTGCTATGTACACATTCACATAAAGATCCAGTTTAATTTGCATTTTCAGTGCAGATTGAGAAGCCCTCTAGAACAGGCTTCACAGTGAGAAATGCCCAGACGGTGGTCATCAGCTTCCCCAAAGGGCATGAGGAGAAAAGAAGGAGCCTCTCTCTCTCCCCCAAGACTGTCCCACAGGAGACAGCCTGTCTGGTTACCAATCAGAAATATGTAGAATTCCGTTTTCATGCCTCCTCCCTCCCCAGTATTAAGGAATGAACAATTCTGATCAATGTCACAGCAGAATCATTTGCATATTGGATTTAGGGAAATCTTTCTGCTTTGGCTGAAGTTTTTTCAAACTTTCCCATTGTATAGTAGTAGCCTGAGAATGAAGGAAAATGGGGTGGCAGGGGAAACGAGAGGAGTGAGGGGAAAGGGGAAAAGTTGATAAAGCAAATTATGAACAGCTTTGTTTAGTGGATTTAAGGAAGGCTGGAGGCCTTTTTGCATAAAGAGCCAATAGGGGCAGCATGGGAGTGGAAGGAAATGGCTTATGTTGCCTCTCCACCTCTGACACCTCCTCAAACATATTTCTGATTGGTGATTAGGAAAACTGAAAAGTCTTTAGCAATACTGTTGCAAGTTCCACAAATCAATGGTTTTGGTGATTCTGGAAGTCTTTTAAGATTAAGGACAATGGACGTGATTACAAATATAAACGTCTAGAAGGTGCCAGGTTTCTACCTAGGAGCATCCTGTTCCTTCCTTTCAGGCATCTCTTTGTAATGGTGAAGGGGGGAAGATGGTAAGGGTGCAAGAAGAGATGCAAAAGGGCCTCAACAGTCAGCAGAAAACAGGACCCGCAGTTCTTTAGAGAGCCTGAGGGGGGCGCCCTCAGGCACACAGGAAAGGCTTGCATAGATTGAGCAGTTGCTGAGAATGCATAATAGTGTTTCCCTACAGACAGCCTCCTGGTACAGGGCTGATGGAGCAGAAGATTCAAGGCCAGGGCCACATGGGACAACGACCATCAAGCTACACATATTGCACCAAGGTAAGTGCTTTTCTTTTCACACCTCAATTTAACTTTTTATTCTAAGCAAAAAATAAAACTTTGTGGGAAGCACACGCACATACACACACACTCACACACACACAAAAGAAATTGCAGCAATTGGGTTAAAGATAAAATAACCTAAAGTGCTTTTTATTTTATTATTTCTTTAATATACCAATATGAGGTTCTGCAAACTCATCCCTCTGGACACATTCAGCATTATACAGTCTCTCAGAAACCCTTCCCCCCTCCATTACCCCCATCAGTCCACTGCCTTGACTCTCCAAGCTACCGACTCTCCCAGAGGTGGTAAACTCAAGTCCCTTGCTTCTACCCGGAGAGGTCTTCACACATGAAGGCCCCTCCGGGCTTTGTACCAAGATCTCCATCTGAAATGAGGTGGGGGCAGGGGATTCAATAAATGACACCAATTCCTGCCACCAAACCGGTGATGTCCCGAGGCTGACCAGATGCCCACAGGGAAGGCAGGGTCACTTTCCCTCAATGCCTGGGAAGGGCCAAAGCCACTAAGGCAGTTTGGTGGTGCCAGCCAAAGTTCCCTCCCACCTCCTGAGCCCATGCACTCCAATCCCTGATGCTGACTAGCACCCTGTACAGGAGCAGTATAACTGCAGATGCTAAGTGGGAACCGGAAGTATAAACCCACAGGGTGGAAATGGTTGAGGTTACCATGGGAAGAAAAAGGCTTGATTTCACCTGGCAGAAGTCTGCAGACCTTCTCTAACCTTAGCCTAGGCTCACTCCAGGTTTGGAAACCACACTCCTAAAGGCTCTGCCTGGATCCACGTTAGCCAGCGGCCCGCTTCTCTCCAAGGTCCTTGGCACCAAAGGCCAGGTTTGCAGAGGAGGTGGGGAGGGAGCGTGCTGGAGGAGGAAGGAAAGATTGTCTATCCTGTGGAATAAACCTGCTCTTCTTTACAACCACTCACTGACCATTTTTCAAAAGTTGACTGGGTTTGATAGTTGTCCTCGTAATCTTGAATCCTCCTCAAAAGGCAGATACTGCAACTAGAAAAATCTGTCCACCTCAACACTATTTTGAGATGCATCACTCCCAATCTTTGGAGTTGAAAAGCCACTGACTGGGCAGGCTCAACAAGGTAACAGGCCCAGAAAGAAGCAACATTTAAGCCATGGACGCTTCCTGCAGCTTTCCCTGGGCTCCCGTCCCCCACCTGCTCCCAGGGAACTCAGTCCCAGGTGACTCTAGGGAGTGGGAAGAGGTCATTCCTGCCCTCCAATGCGAACTACCTTTGGAATTGTATTGTGCTGGTCTCTCGCAGAAGAGGCAGAGAAAACACAAGTGTCCTACCTCAAAGCTTCCTACGGTGCCTGGTCCACAGAGCCAAGGACAAGCCACGCTCAGCAGCTGGTTTTCCAGGACCGACTCACTGTGGTACTAGAAGATTCCTCCTGCCTTATCAACGCCTGCTGAGGTCAATGGTCCCAGAACCCGCCAGCCTTTTAGGGAGGAGAGTGCAGGTTAAAAGGAAACTCATTCTCCTGCCTAGACTCCTGGAATGAGAAGCCAGCAGCTGCTTGTGGCTAAGCCCACTTCTCATTGCAGTGACAGTGTTCACCACCACTGCCCTCTTGTCCAAGTCTGTCCCTGAATGTCCTGTTAAATGCTGGGCTTCTGGCTCCCAAAATGATCTGCTCTGGATACTGTCTTGGCTGGCCTTGAGTATGGCTCAGAGACAGGAGTGGCAAATGCAGCTCGTTTTACATTAGGGCGTGGGAAAAGGAAGGCAAGATTATGGCTACTTTCTGCCCAACAATATTGACTCAGAAGAGCAGACCTGTTTGCTCAAGGTAGGGAGGAGGCCTAGTCTATAGACATGGGGCCATGCCCAGCTTCTGAGCTCAGTGAGCTTGGTGAGCGCTTTTGACTAACATTAAGATAGCCAGTTGAGAGAAATTTTCCATTTTAGTGTGGGCTGTATTTTATGTTTAGAGGCAATGACTTGGAGCCAAAGGCAGACAGATGGTTGTAATTCTATACACAAATAAAAAAAAACAATTCTTCTTTCCTATAACACAACTTAATGAAACATTCCAAATGAGATAACTTATTGCAACATTTCAGGCTTTTTGGTGGAAGGGGAATTTTTTTGTTTTACCCTGAGTAGAAGATCATCGTTTTGTGTTTTTTTTTTTGTTTTTTGTTTTTGTTTAGAAATCATGTGACTAAGCTGAGCAAGTCACATCCTTCTTTGCACTGTACTCGGCTGTCTGCAAAATCCAGAGGGGCGAGAGGTGGAGATGGGAGGGGCAACCAAAAGCCTGGCTAGAACCTGGAACCAGGAAACCTGGCTGCCAATTACATGCCACCTTAAAAAACCTCCCTCATCGATAAGCAAAATGCAGCTCTTTTGCTCCGAAGAAGAGAACTACAATTAAAGGAAGGCAGAGCACCGATCAGCAACTGGCCATACACCCACATGTCCACTCTAGGACAAAACAGGGATGTCCCCAAGAAAAATTCGCTGTGCCCTGCAAATCCTGGCAACCAATTGAGAGACAGACCAGGAAGGCAAAGACTGTGATCACGTTGCTAGAGCCTGCTCTGCACACACGCCACTGGCAGGTAGCAAACAGCTGGCTCGGGCCCCTGCAGAACCAGATCCTCCCTACAGCTTCCAGCCAGGCTTTTAGCTGCCCATCTGTGCTGCAGCTGGATGCAGACGACACCTGCCACAGTCACTCTGAGCTCCACTGACACCAAGTGCAAATATCAAAACCATCTCACCCAATTCCCGTCCGGCTCACGGCTGTCTGACCTGCCTTTGCCACTTCCCTCTCTGATGGAGTGAGGGGCTGGCTTTTGGAGCAAGCTTCAGCCTCAGGCTCAGAAGACGCACAGGGAGGAACAACACCTGACACACTGAATTCTGTCCAGACCACAAGGCCCCAGTGCAAGTGATGGGCAACATCAGACTGATGGAAACCACACCCTTTCACTTGGAATTTTTATGCATACGAGTAACCTTAAT